ACACTTAATGCTAGTTTTGCTCTCATTAAAGTTCCTGTTCTGTTAGCTCTGCTCTACTCTTTATTTCTTTGGTACTTTCCCGGGTCTCTCTTCCTCTAGTCATGTTGGGAACATAGCATGACCCCAAGAAACAGCTTTTCCCTTCACGGTGTGTCTCAGTTGGGTAAAATGACAAAACCAAACTCAATAGGATAAAATAATGTTAGTATGAGCAAAGCATCAAGTCCATGTAGTTGGAACAGACTGCATCAGCCTTCAGGGACAGAACCCATCGTGAGCAGGCGTGCAATCAAACAGCAGCCCTTTAAAGAACGTCTAATGGGATAAAATCCCTGTGACAACAATGACGTCAATAAAAGCTACACCAGTGATTAGACAAACCACATGCTGAAACCTGACGAGCAAACTAGAGCTACTCAGTGAGTTTGTACGGTCATAAAACAACATTATTTGCTCAGTGTCTACACTATTGTGCGATTTCCCACATTACCCTCCACAGATAAAAAGTGGGAGCAAATGGTGGCACTTTCTGTAGCAGAAAGAGAGAGAGAGGAGAAAGGGGGAGCGGTGACTCGGTGCATTAACATACAGATAGAATAGGTAAAGAGTTTTAATGTACTCAGGAGGCTGAGGGAACCGAGAGGCTGAGTGAGAGGTGGGGAGGAAAGAGGGAACGAGGAAGAGGAAAGAGAGAAAGACAATCAGCAGGCTGGTGCCACAAAGGCAGGCATCCATGACCTTATATCTCAGTTCATCACGGGGCTGGGAAGGAAATGAAAGGCCTACAGGAGGACAAAATATAGGTAAAGGAAAGACGAGCAGGATGGAGGAAAGAGGGAGTCAAAAATAGAAGGAGAGAACTGTGAAAATTTGAAAAAGAGCACAGGGATCACCATGAATATGAAAGAAGTAGGGCAGAGTAGGAATATGGAGGAGAGTGAGAAAAAGGAAACATTGACAGGAACAGGGATGGAAATAAAGCCATGTCAGCTACAATGGACCGAAGCCTCCAGAAAAACAGAAGGAAGAAAAAGCAGCAGATGAAAAAGAAAGCCAGGTATAGTGATGAACAGACAGAAATACAAATGGGATTACTTGTTGTCAAAGGTGGCCCTTATGCAAGATGTTGCCCAAATACATGACTGAAGACAAAACCATTCAGTTCATTTGCTGTCTGAGCTCCTCTCTGCAGTAAGGACAATAATGCTGCACAATTGTTTTTCATGTTTTTCTAGGGTTTTCAATTCATCCTAATACCCCAGTTAAAATCACCAACACCTGACACGTCAAGCTTTGTCACACTTTTGATTGATTTCATTTGTGCACCAAAGACAGTGAAGAAAATAATTATTTTTAAAATATAAAGACAATGTAAAAAATAATCGGGTTTATTTTCTGGCTTTACATTAAATTTGTTTGCCTGTGGAGTTTGTGTTTAGATGTGTGACCAGGTCTGCAATTAACGATTGTTCTTGTCTTTAATTAATCTATTTGTTATTTATCTTCTAGATTAATCAAGTGGCTGTTTGGTCTATAAAATGTCAGCAAATGGTTAAAAATGTGTTCCCTAAAGCCTAAGATGACGTCCTCGAGTGTCTTATTTTGTCCAAAACCCAAAGATATTCAGTTAACTGTCATACAAGAGCAATGAAACCAGAAAATATTCACATTTTAGAAGCTGGAATTAGAGGCTTTAAACTTAAAAAATAAAATCATTCAAACATCTTAATTGATTATCATAATAGTTGGCAATCAATTTAATAGTTGACAACTAATCGATTAACTAATGCAGCTCTAGTGCACAACAAATTTGTTAAATACTTTAAAATCTATTATTTACTTAGATTGTTGGAAATTGGGGCATTCCTTGTGTGCTCGTCCACATGTATGTAGGTCCTGCATAAATAAAACAGGTACTTGTACAACTTTGATATAGATCATGTACACTGCATATATGTTATAAACACTGCAGAGGACAACACGGATAATAAGCACTGGATAAACTGGCTTACAAAGTCTCCAGAGTCAAGTGTGCCCATATATGTAAACTCATTACAGACATTACCGGTAGTCACTGATATTTGGTGTAACCCTTGTCCCTGCAATATTTTGTGCAGGAATAAAGCTCTGGTGAAGAAATCACAAACACACAGAGTGACAGAGTCCTTAAGTATTCATACTCTTCCTCACGGTATGAATACAAAAGCAGTCCAGACGACGTGTGAACTGGACATTCAGTCAGACTCCGAGACAAGAGGATGCAGCACAAACAGCAACATCCAGCAGAACTATTACAGAACCAGACAAGTCAGAGGTGTCACTCAATTAAAACAACAGAAGTTGAAATAAACAGTTTGAGCTGCACATTGCACATAAAACAAGCAAAACTTCCATTTAGTCTGGAGGCATGACGTCCCTTCACTCCTCCTTTGTGGTGTGAGACTGAGAACATGCAATCTGTCAGCAGCTGTGGATTTACACCCTGCAGCCCACAACACAAACCTTCATCCCTCCGCTCTCTGTGGACCCAACTGTCACTGTCCTTGGTCCTAACACAGAAACCCGAGAGTGTCTCAACTCTTAAAAGGCGGTTTGTGCAAACTGCTGGTTTTGTGTTTTAACGTGGAGCTGAGAAAACCGTCAGGTCCACACCGGGAGGAAGGCACGTGGCCTGGCTTGTGTACGCGTCAGACACGCTGCCAGAAAGAGTAACGTCCTTATTTATAAAACCACTTTACAGAGTCACAGAGCACAGGATCTATGACTTTGGCATTTTAATGTTAATTAACTGGCTGCTGCTCTTAGTTCAGACAAAACCGGAACACCATTCAGTGAAAACCAGCACTGACGAACTTTTTTAGACATATATGGACAGTGTGTATTGGTGCAGGTAAACAGACTCCTGTGGCTTTTCAGGCAACGTTCTACTTATGTTAAAACCTGAGTCTATTTTTAGTTGCACCCTACATTATTGCCATAGTTCAAATTGTCCTAATGAAAATTCAACAAATCTTCTGCTGTTCGTAATCAGTCCATAATTAAAGATTCCTTGATTATCAGGGGTTCAGGCCCTTATATTTTAAAATTTAGACTTCTAAGAAATGCCTGATAATTCATCTTCTGTTTCTGAAAGTAATATTAAGAGCTGTTGATATCAGTATTTTAAACAGACACATGATCATTAATTTATTTTTCACCTAAAATTCTTCAATTCATCGTGATGTTTTTCTTCCGTATCACCATTGAACTGATGCATCGTGTCGTTAGTTTTTGGGTCCATTCGTTGGTCAGCTACAGGTTTAGAGAACAGCAGCTGCAGCAAAGTTCAAGTCATTTAAAAATAAATGCTTCCAAGTATGGGGGTGCTTTGAATTATCATTCAACAAAAAGTGTGGCTTGTTCACTGTACGAAGCTTTAATTTATTAAGTTTAATTTCTACGTTTATTTTAAAAGAAATAAACACAAGGTAAATGCACCACCAGAAAAGGCTAAAGTACATTTAGTGTTCGGTATTTATTAGTAGAGACAGCTTTTTGTATTATGTTTCTTGTCCTTGCAACTGCTAAATAAGCTCATTAAGCTCAAAACTAAAGCATTTTTGAAAGAAAATGTATTATTTAGATTAATCAACTAAACAGTGAAATAGACAATATATTAATCAATAGAAAACTATTCTTCAGTGGCAGTACCAGATTCAAGATTCAAGATAAGCTTTATCTAGTACTGCCACTGAAGAATAGTTTTCTATTGATTAATATATTGTCTATTTAACCGTCTAGTTTTGTTTAGAACAAACCTTGATTTATGCTGTTATTTAAACATGTTTTGCAGCAGCTTCACCTTACAGACTATTAAAAAGCTTCTGTCTTGATTTTCGGAGTCTATATTTGTTTGCTGGATGTAGATTCTGCCTCGTGTTGACTGCGTCTGCATTGTTCATTGTAACTGTGGTTATTTCATGCAAAAATGTTGCACTAATATATACATTTAAAGCTAATCCTGCTACATACATCTACTCAAAAAGTTTGAAAGTAGTTTGAGGCCTAAATGCTTGTTCAATCTTTTCATTTAAATGTTTAAAAATCACTCTAGGATTGGCAGCACCACCCTGTGAACCTTTTGATTTGTGTTCTCCTGGAAAGAGATGGATTGATTGTTGGACTGTGTGAGCTACCTTTAAGTCTGACCGAAATTTCAGTATTTTGGTGAGAAAATATAATCTGCATCCCTGTCAAGGGCTCTTTAATGCAGCTTGAATGAGTAATAATAAAACTATGCAAACTAAAAAGTATGCATGTAAGTGACCAAAAAGAAAATTTAATTTCTAATATATTATGAAAGTGATTCAATGATTTACATTTTTAAATTAAAGAAATATAGCAAAGCCTGGATACATGTCTAAGTTACAAATTAAACATAAATGTGATAGTAAACTTTCAGAATTAGACCAAATTATGTGCCGCATAGAAAGGAATTGAAATGAGAAATTCACATAATGCTAGGTTTTCACAAAGACAGACAGACACACACACACAGGCATACACACCCTTAAAAATAATTTCCTTTTGTCAGTTGGTCAAATTTTGCGATAAAACTTAATTTTGTAAACCAGAATGATTTGACTCTTGTACAACAGCTAGACCTCATTTATTCAGCTTGGCTCTAATGCAATGAATTGAATGAATTATTCCTGAAGTAGGTCTCAATCCTACCTCAAGGTTTCTTGATGACCTTTCTCTGACATCTTTCATTGGTAGCAAAAAGTTCATTACTGTTGTTTCCACACGGCAATGCCAACTTGGAGGGTCCTTGACCCAAAACACCTCAATCACTGCGGAAAATACAATAGTATATTCCAAAAGCTACAGAGATAATAAAATTATGTTTAATTGAAATTTTATTGGAATGCATGAATATGATCACACTCTGTACACATTTATTCAAAACTTATATTTTGCGGTCCTTGGAACTGTTTAATGGAAGGCTTGGTTTAACTTACCATGAGGTTATTAGGTGCAGGTCTCTCTTTGGGGTGCCGCCGCATACTGAGAAAATAGAAAAAAAAAAGATGTATAAGCAGTTTGTATCCAGTCACTATTCAAACTGTTTCTAAGTGCGCAAGAGATGTTTTTGTTGTAACTTTCATTTCAAGCATAATTTTCATTTAGAACTGAATATTCAAGAGAAGGCTTGAAACAAAACCCTTCATGCCATAGAAAATAGAAAGAGAAGGTTTAATACTCTTACAACACGGCGCCTTTATGTCAGACAGATTAGTGGATTTATGTGTGTGTTTCTCTGAGCGTCCTCCACATTGTGTATACATACATACGTGATCTATCAGAACGACCTACACTGGGGACTGTCTGCAGTTAGTCATCTAACTGGTTTATGTATTACAACGAAAGGGCCATGACTGCCTGAGAATAGTCCTCGGCCTGCACCACGGCCGGGCAGAACACCTCAGTCGGTCCTGAGAGAGAGGTGCCCTGTTTGAGTAAATACAGCAGCCATGGGGGATAAACAACAGCTGGCATCGTCGTCTAGCGAGTGCTTAACACACACGCACACACAGGGCTTGCATGTGGTTTGGGTGTGTATGTAGATGTTTGTCTAACTGTAAAGGTTACAAGAGGCTAATGAATCAGAAGCAAATGCAGAGTAAACATTGTATTTGTCCTGATGCATTAGATAAATCAATCATTCTTCATTTAGAAAAAGGAACTGCTATTTATTGAATATCATAGCGAATGGCTAATACAACCATAATGCATTAACACACACAGGCACATGCACTTTAATCCTCTCGTACGCCATTATACCTTTGATTCGCCTGTAATTTAGCTCATCTCTGTTAAATGCAGTTTGTGGTCTTTGTAATTGTGCGGTCTGGCTGTGTGGGGCCACAGATGGTTGATGGTTTTAAATATAATGAGGCAGTACAAAATACAGAATACTGACTCACCACTGAGTGACGAAGTGAACAAACTTCTCGCTGAACTGGCCGACGGGAAGAACTGGAGGATCCTGTCAAGAAGAACAAACCAATGTCAGACAGTAAATATCATATTTAACTACAATTATGATATTATCTCTGCACTGACTGTGGAATCCTGACACAATACATGGCTTTAAAGAAAAAAGTACATTAGGATGGCTCACATTAGTGAAAATATTTAAACAAATGAGGTTTGTCAAAAGAATGGTTTATACTTCAGAATATGTGCTGCACAATTTAACTGAAGGTCTTTGAGTAGCTACATTTTTTGGGCCATCTGAGATACAAGTCTGGAACTGTTGGAGAAACGTGGTAAAAATCTTTGATTAGAACAAAAGCCAAACTGGTGACTTGGAGGTCCAAAACTTTAAGATCAAATTTTCACAATACAACTTGTGCTATGAGCCACATCTCCAAAGCAAAAAAAATGAACAAAATATGACATGCAATGACAGAGAGTACGATGGCTGGCATGGCATATTGCAGGAGCCATTTTTGAATGAAAATTTTTGGGGAAAAAAGGGAAAGAAAACATGCGGTAAAATCTGACACAGATTGCAACTATGGCTGCATTAGATCTATCTCTCACAGTGTAATGAGAGAACATTTACAAAATGATAGCTGTTGCACACAAAACTTAGTTATTTTTGTTATATTTCTTCTGAAAATCAACCAAGAGGGCGACTCATGGTCTAGGATTTGAGAGGACTAAACCAATATGTCAGTAAATCCTTAACTAATCTGGACAAGTTCAAAACAAAACAAAGAAAAAAGTTTTGGTGCAACAGAGCTGAAAAATAACATTTGGTTATCTAGGTTGTGTCCATTACGACAGAAAAACATAGTAAAAAGTAGACAGACACATGGTTACCTCGAGGTTCCTATTGCTAACTGTGACTTCCATCCAGCAAACACACAACAACATAATAAACATACTAAAACAGCAAAATTGGAGAAGTAAATGGATCTTTTTCAACTGGAGCACTCAGGAGTGTTTGAATATGATCGAGCACCGTATTAATCAATATGTCATTATACGATTACTGACACAACCAATGTTCAAAGAGTACACGCTGCTAAACGAGCCTGAATTCGGTGTTAAGTTCAGAGTTAAGTACCTTTCTTGTGTAAAGACTTTAGTATCTGACCTCAAGGTTACACGCTGCACTCTTTATCCTCGGTACTCATGGTGGTATTAAGTGGTGATGGGCATTCAAACTGTAACGGACCTGTAACGGCTGCTGGTTGAAACAGCGTTAGTCTTGCTGGGGTCAACCAATCAACAAATCTGATAATTCAAAAGGTGAAAGTGCAAATGTAAGCCAAAGTGTTGTAGATTAAAGCTATTACGGCTTGGATTTTCTACGACAATGGCTGCACAAAGCCCAATGCAGAATGGAGCAGAAGAGCGTGAAAGATCACTGAGCAACGGCTACAACTTAACTATAACTTTTTTTAATATTGTAAATACTAATTCTTATTATAATTAAAGTGCAGCTTAAACGTAAAACGACACAGAATCCGCCACACTTTGGCCACAGGGGGACATAGGTGAAGGACTATAGGGCCCTGAGTTATTGCTATTTGAGCCGTTGGTTCCAGCCTGAAGCTCTTAAGAGTTGCAAGCGTGGTTAAGTGGTAACTCAACATCAGAAGGAAAGTCTGACATGAAATAATGAAGTCCAGTGATGCTTTTGAGCTGTCCAAGGAACAAAGAGCATTAAAAAAAAAGGAGCAAAAATAGCATCGAGTCTTGTGAATGATGAATCTTGAGCAGGATATATTGGAAAATGAGTGCTGGTTTTACACACTGCAGAGGGTGATAATGTTATTGTTTTGAATATAAATGTCATTAAGTAGATAAGTAGCAGTTGATTCTATGTCATTCTATGCCCGCACTGGCTTGGCAACGTGCAGAAACAATGGATGGTGTGTCAAGCCATTTTCAAGCAATGAATGCTGATTTTATCATTTCTATCATTTCTTTTTTAAAGAGTGGCAGATAAGACGGGGGACAAGAGAAGGGGGGCAACATGCAGCAATTCATGCTATGAATCAGAGTCAATCTGTGGCCACTGCAGGACTTCCAGCCCCTATTCGTGGGTCGGATGCTTAACCAGGTGGAGGCTACAGCCCTCTTTTTATATTCAGCTTCCGCTCCAGCTCCCATCAACCCTCTACAGGATAAAGCAGGTTGAGGGATATCTTTCATCACAGTAAAGTATAATCCTTCAGTTTATCGTAAAGCACACCTTCAACTTTTACATGGACAAAACTTGACTCATGTTGTTCTATGACTCAATGAAAAGGCTCTTCCATAACGAATTACTTCCCTACAAAAGGGCCATCTTAATAAAACAAGTGCTTTTTAATTTAGTTTTCAGTTTGTTAGAGGCCACGTGCACTACTTTGTTCCAACCTTTTGTCACGATGCAGCTCTATGAAGTCCACCAAAACGTTAGGCCTACTTCTAAATGTTTAACAGGATGGGAAATGGGCTCATGTATGCTTATTTACTTCATTTTCGTCTTTTCGTTACAGTTGTGGAGATACACACTGGAATACACGACGTTTTCAGAGTTTAGCTCGTGTCACAGGACGGCTGGTAACATCCATCATGTCAACAACAAGGCTTGGGAGGAAAAAAGCAGCTGTATGGACCCACTTTATTAACAATTTAATGCTGTAGAGAAACAAGTCAGTGTTTCGTGGTGTTGGGAGAAAGCTGCTACCAATCTGAACAGATGTCTAAAGATGCACTCGGACAAAGAAACCGGGGTAACAAAAGATGTTATGAGCTGTATTAAGCCATTTGAATGACGGCTAGATTTCTGACTGGCAGACATTCGTGTATGACATTTTTCTTGAAAAATATTCTCTTTTCTGTGGTTTTTCACTCCCTTACAGAAAGGAACTTTGTGTGAGAAACCTTTGTGCAGTTTGCCGCTGTGTGCCTATGCAGCATTTTTTTCCCCATGAATTCAGGTTTTTCCAATTATTTTTATTTTGGATTTGGCTGTATTGAGCTGAGGAAGATGCATGGGTTTAATACGGACTGCAAGCCTTGGATTATGTTAACATCTCATGTGATGTTTTCTGCTTTGTTTTTAGCTCAGAAATTCAAGTTCATTGTCACATACTTTGAAAAAGTACGAGAGCACATTCAAATGCACTGCAATGCATCTGCACTGGCTGGTTCTCTATCCTTAAAACTACACATGAAAAGTAATAAAAACAACAAGAGTGCATACAATGACAATAAAAAAAGCAACAATAAATATGAAAACCTAGAAAAGATACATCACTGTATGTAATATGTATATTGCATATTGTTCAGCATTCTAACTGCCTGGAGGTATGAACAGTTTTTAAGGTGGCCACTCTAATACTCAAAGCCCTCTATCTGCAGCTGGAGATGTAAAGAAGCCCTGGATTTTCACAGATTTAACCACACCAGTATAACACCAGTAAGAATGTGATGGTAGCCCAGTGCAAATTGGCCAGGGTGTCTGTTAACATCCCATATTTTTTAAGGGGTTGCAGAAACTATAGTCTTTGTTGGACCTTCTTATAACAAATCTAAATGCCTAAGAATCTCCCAATCACATTTAACCAGTTATAGACTTCCTAAAATCTATACTGATCTTCTTTCTTTTCTCAACATTCGGGAGAGGTTTTTGTTTTTTGTTTTTGTTCTGGCACCATATAGATAAGTACATGACCTTCTTTCTTATAAAGGTGTTTGCATTGTGTCATTGATCAGGTACTCGCTGTGGTGTCATCTGCAAATTTCCCTTTTCTGCTCATATGACAATTGGCATCACTGTCATGCAAACAGACGGTAGATTAACAAACTAAAGGAACAACCTTGTGGTGTTATTGTATTGACAAAAAAGGTAGATGAGTAACTGGTATCAGGAGGTTGTGTAACCGTTTACAGATGGACCAAATTCCCTGAGCTTTAACACCAGTTAGGATGGTACCACATTATGAAAGGCCGAACTGTATTCAACACAAACAACATCTCACAAAGGCTTTTTCACCTTGAAGATGAAAAACTGGACACACAACCAATACAGCAGCTAATGTTTAAAGAATGAATTGGGAACTTTATAGTTATTAAATTTAACTTACTAGATTATTTTTTACTCTATTTGAATAAAAAAGTATCATTATCTTTACATATGTTTGCTGTTACATGAAAGGAAAATGTACTTAGGTGTTGAAAAATGTTAAATATGTTTTAAGTCTTGGTTTACAGATTTCCCTATTTTTTTGTTAAATTAGAGATAACTAGAAAAATCACTGAAAAAAGTATTAACGTACATGTTAATCATAAAAAAACAGACAAAAAGTGTGAGAATGTCTACATATAATCTGTATTTTTACAAAAGGTAATTTGTCATTTTAACACACTAAAAGCACCCTAAAAACATCTATTTATTTGTTTATTTTTAATCATGCAAGACTATACAACATACATAAAGCCTCTTAAAGCTAGAACCAAAGTAACAAAAATTTGACTACAATGTCTACGCTTCTCTTTAACTAAAAATGAGACGACAGAAACAATAGACATGAAGTTCACCAAATGTGACTAAGACTCAGGTGGACATTTCCTCTCAGGACAAAAACTGAATGTAAATTGCTGCCAAATGAACAATAGTACGATGTGTGTGTGTGTGTGTGTGTGTGTGTGTGTGTGTGTGTGTGTGTGTGTGTCAGGCTTGCTACACATAGTCAATGGAGGATCTATGAACCATGTCATGTAGAACAGCTGACCCTCTATTACTGGCCCACACCTCATTACTCCATCCATTTTCCTTCTCTAACTCTGCTTCATTCACTGCCTTTGACTGTCGGCACGACAAGCTCTCAATATTTCTGCTTATTTTTACAGGTGACATCGTTAAGAGAGAAAGTCAACCCACTGCACAGATTATCATCTGTATTCTTTTTCTGTGTAACAATGCCAGTAAACACCCAGCAGAGAGTCAAGTAGGAACCAGTGTGTGAAATAAACAGGATT